CCCCCCCCCCCCCCCCCGCCACTTGAACTGTGGATACAAACAGCGCGTGGCTCAGATGTCTCTCAGTCGCTCTCCTCACACGCACCCTGTTCTGAAACTGTAAAACCGTCTGCAAACAGCACACGGCTGTCTCTGTGTCCCCCACCCCCCCTCTAAAACCGTTGGTTTAAAGAGCGCGCTGCGCAGCAGAGGACGTGTCTGTCCGTCCGTCTCCCCCCCAGACAAAAATAATGGATGAGATGAGCGCCCCGCCATGGCAAGTTATGTAGGGGAAACAGTCAAAGCAGGATTGTCCTGAAAGAGCTGAACATTTTTAATTTACGATTTGTTGAAATGGCATAAAAATTGTGGAACGAGAAAGATGCTGAAAAACGTACAAAAGAAAAATGGATCACAGTGTGAATGTTTATGAATCATTCACACAAATTGATTTGTTGCTCTCTAGTTACCTTAGCTTCACCAAAGACGATGTACGTGTCTGACGCAGGACTTTTGTACACATCTGGTTTGGTGATGACGAACAAGATGTTCTTTGATTTGCGTATAGTGACCCTGGTGACCCCTGTGACCTGCCTGAGACCAAGTTTTGACATTGCCTACAAGAAAACAAGAAATGTTAGAACAAATATTCTTGTAAACAAAGTGTTGTATAAGCTTTACGAGTCTTCATTACCTTTCGTGCCTTCTTTTCACTGCGGCTCTGTTTGGCTTTGCTGACGGGCTCCTCGTCTATTTCAGCAGCTGCTGCAAGCTACAAGACAAATTTGTTATGTTAGAGACTGCATTTAGAGAAAAACAATTCACGTTTTATTACTATGAATATTTCTTCTCAGGACACAAAGGTTGGCTTCAATAGGCTCAGAAGAACGAAAGTCACTGTGTTATTCATCACTGAAGAGTTACAGACCAACATCTGTACAGAACATCTGCTCTCAAGTCACACCAGTAGACCTAATATTACCGATTAGACTGAAGTCTGACCTGGGCTTGCTGTGTCTGGGTCTGTGCAGAGTCCTGTTCTTCCAGGTCAGGAACAGAGTCATCGCTGTCCGACTCCGTGCCGGATCCTGCAGAAGCCACCAGTAGACAAAAACAATCTCAATAATACACACCTGCAACTCATTCTGAAAATAAGCAGCAACAATTATGAAATTTATGAAGCAAAACACAGTAAGCATCGTCTAAACTCAACACAACAGGACCTCTGAAAACACAATACCCCTTATATTGGATCACCTTTAATAGACTAAAATCATTTTCACAAAGTCCATCAAAATTAAAAATGTCATTGCATAAACAAATCTCCACAATCTGACAGCCATAAACCAAAAGTAAAATTAACATTTGCCAAAATAGGAACAGAAATCCCAAGTAGCTACAACAGTTTAAATCACAAGCCAAACCTGATTCAGACTTCAAAAGCTTGACTTTAAAGGGAAATCTTTATGCACATGAACCCCCCCCCCCCCCCCCCCCCAAAAAAATAGTGCTGGCACACAAATACACAAGAAAGAAAAGGAAATACCCTCGTCGTTCTTGATCACAGTCTCCACCTTGTTTGGGATTTTACCAGGTGTGGGAGCAGGTTTAGGAGTTGCAACAGGATTTGAGAGAGTACCGGCAGCATCAATTATCTCAACTTCAGGCTTGGCAGGTGCAGGTTTTGCAACTGCCTCAGCAAAAGTGAGTTTACGGGTAGCTGGGGGAGGAACAGCGGGCTCAACAGGAACTGGTTTTATGGGAGCAGATGAAACCTCGGCAGTGGGCTTGGTGGCTTTAGGCACCGCCTCGGCAGACGCCGCCGCCTTGTCTGCTTTGGGTGCCTCGGCAGGCGCCGCCGCCTTGGCTGCTTTGGGTGCCTCGGCAGGCGCCGCCGCCGCCTTGGCTGCTTTGGGTGCCTCGGCAGACGCCGCCGCCGCCTTGGCTGC